TAAAACATTATGTTATGAAAAAGTACAAATATGTACTTTTCCACTGGGAAAAACTTTAAGATACACAACTGGACCATAAAACCACTGTTGTACCTTTGAGGGTACATTTACATTGTTTGTACTTTGATGAACAAAAAAATGTACCTGTACAGAACCTTTATTTCTAACACTGTAGGCAGGTAAACACCTTAGTTTCTGTATTTAATTGGTAACATAACGTATCCTCTCAACGAATGTTTGCATCCCTTTTGCAATTGAAGACGTCAGTTCTTGGCTAAACTCAGGCTACTGATACAAAACTGATATGTAGGAGACGTCTAAGGTAAGCACGCATTTCTTAGATGTTTCTGATGCATCTATATAGGACGATTAACTCTGTATTACCATGCGTTTGCTAAGTCAGCAAGATAGCATCGTCAATCAAACACCATACACTCACAAATTGAAACAGCTATGCACATAAACGTAAGCCCTTACCATTCAGCAGAGTGTAGAGACTACTAAATTATTTTACTCAAGTAAATGTACTAATAGTGCTAATTAGTAAAAATAAAATTACTTATGTAAAAGTCAGCTAAAAAAAGTATAACTAAACAAAAGTGACTTTGAATAAAAGTTACTGTGTGGTTGGCAAAGTGCCACTTCTGGGCAATGCAGGCAGGGCAAGAGCATGTATATAACGTGATTTTCAATTTCAGATCACCTTTACAAAATAAAGTGCATTCCCAATTTAAAATACGAAATAAGCGATGGATAAACATTTTTAAATAGAATAAAAAATATATATGTAAGTATACTAAGTGCATTAATAAAAGGCTATATGAAATAAACATGAAATAAATACAATTAAAAACTGAAATTAAAAATAAAAATATATATAAACATAAAATAAAGTATACTAATAAATAACAATCAAACGTATCTGTGTGACCACATTAAAGGTAAAAGCAGGTAAGAACTAGCAATGAAAGGCTAGAGAAAAAAGGGGAACTGAACCAAAAACAACTGAAACATTTCCCTTCTTAGTGCAAGTCAGAACATAGAATGAGGACAACTGGTACCTCATATAACTAAAAGAGGTACTGCTACAAAATGTAACCATATACAAGTATGTAGTATATATACTGTATGTGAGGACTGAGTGACCTGAAGAAAAAAATTGTTTAGAAATGTGACATCAGCACATCTGCTTACATATCAAATATCCATAACAGCAGAAACCTTGTAGATTATTACTCTGTGAATTTCAAATCAGTTTCAAAGCTAGCACAGTTCAGTCTTGCTTACTTTGCAGTGAACTCCGGGACAGTTGAACAGAGTTTTAGGGACATTTTTTTGCTGTAGGGAAATTTTCCACAAGCAAGACACCCGTCAAGCTGTAATCTGTGATTTCACTGATGAGAATAAATCATCCTCATCCAATAAATGCTGCCTAACTTCTTCCATGGCATTCTGTGTCATTTGTTCAAGAAGAGTTTTATAGTACTTACGCAGACAAAATCATGATGTCCATGATGTTATTGTATGAACACATGGTGATATAGTGATGTGCAGAGCACAAAGGATGAAACTTGGATTAATAATAATGTATAACTGTGAGTTTGTGACACACTAAAGTACACTATTTATTAGGCACATAATAAAACTTAAATATATCTACTATCAATTGACTTTTTATTATATTTAGAAACTTGTGGCATTTCTGTATTAAAATGACAGTAAAACCTACTTGCCACTATTTATTTTAGTAGTGTAATGTACTGGCCACAGAGGTGTACTGTAATCACCTGTGCAGTCCGCTACAGTTTGATTAATTATGGGGGAAAACAAAGCAATGCATTGTCTTTCATAGCACTGTGTAAAGATGCAAGTGGTCAGTATGTTGGCACAACAAAAACCCTTTGTTGCCATTATTTTACTATTATTAGAAATACTATTATGAGGATATACTACAAGGTCTTGTTTGTCTACAGTCAGAGGATTTTCATGTTAAATTTGATGATATATATCAATCATCATCAGGAAAATTTGCCAGTGTATTGATAAACATTGATGCCTGATCATGAATGCCTACTCTTAATCTGCACATTCCTGCCTCAGCTTTCTCAGTCCAAGCAGTCTTGAACTGTGGCAGAAAGACTGCTGTGGCTATTAGCTTGGGGTCTTCCATCACCCCACCATCCTGAATAGTTCTGATGAGTGCTAGACACATCTTAGAGGAAGCTTTCGTTCTTCTGAGTTTTGCTTGTAGCCAGAAGATCAAAAGAAGGAGCCATTCCATGTGTGTGTTTGTCTGAGACTGAAGGATGTTTAAAGCCTTCACCACAGGCTTCATGACAAAACAATACTCATTCGAGAAGGTGATCTCAGCTGGACTCAGCCTGTACAGCACAAAGCAAGTGTTAATGTAGGTTTGCAGGAATTCTTTAATATGAAAAGACATTAGAAACATGTGTTTTACTCATGACACTGATGCAAGGATAGAAATGAACACCCACCACCAATTAAAAGCAGGTGATTTGTGCAGAAGCCAGTAAAATGGTTCAGTCCACGACCATATTTAGCATTTGATTTTAATGAGGCTGGTAAAAAAAAAGAGCGGCAAGTACTGTAGAACTTAATAATGTACCAGACAGTTAATTTTGCAGCTTGCATAAACAGCCCAGGTCAATCATAATTAAAGCCAATATTCCCTACTGCTTTGACCATTTAACTTCCATTAGTTATTAAAGGGTGATGCAAATGAAGAGAACTAGGATCAGCTTAAAAAAATAACTTTTAAACAATCCTCACACTGTCACACTGAATTTTTCAGACATTCCTAATGGAGTCTTCCCCTTCCTGTTGCAAGATCCATAAGATTCTCTCTACAGCCATACACAATGAGTTCCATCAAGTTTGATTTGGCCAGATGAGCTGGAGCTTTCACTCATCTTCCATCTTCTTGTTTGTGTGTGAAGTGTGGTCATGCATGCATGTGCATGTGTGTATGTATTGTGTTGTGTTTAAGGGAAACACTCAATTAGTCTAATACAGAGTGACTTCCCATTGAAAAGTATTGAAATCTCTTAGATAGCACACACTCTTTGTGTGTTTTGTGTGTTTGTGTAAGGTGATAATTAAAATGTTGATGGTGAGTTGTTGAGATAATGGTCCATTTCATCACTTCATGAGAAGCTGAGATGAGCAGAACATTAATTTTTTCATGAAAATATGTACAATTTACAAAAAAGTACCTTTTCTTTTACCAAAAACTAAATAAAATATATATAATACAGAAATTGAACACTGTAGCCAAACCGTTTGACCAATTTCAATTTTGTTTTCAAATTTGCACCCAGTGAGCCTCTAAGAACCGCTGTGCCAACAGAAATTTTTTACTTCCAATATGGGCATTAATGGGTTAATCACTCTAGCCATGAATTATGGTTTCTACTGTGTAGTGAAACCCTTCTCATTAGTACTGTCTTCAGGTTGCTAAAGTATCAGTGTTTCACAGTGTTTTTAGAAACATGGCCACTCAGGATTTTAAATTAATAAAAGTTCAGACGGAAATCTCTCTAAATTCTGGTAAGCTTGGCATTTTGGTAATTATTTTGGTAAAGTAACTTGGTAATTATCATTATTATGATTTAATATTCCAACTGGGGTGTGAAATTACCCATTGCTATAAACAAAGGTAGCTAAACTGATTTAGCCATAATACCACCCCCCCATATGACAGTCATATGAGATCATGGCTTAGACGACAATGTCTTCCCATGACGTTGCTCATTTAAAATACTTTTAAAAGAGAAATGGCTCTTTTTTTTCAAACGTTATCACATAATTAAATGGTTAAGATATAAACAAAGTCATTCAGAGTGGTTTGGTGTGAAATGCTGCATTCTTGACAAACTTACCAAGTTGGAGTTTTTCCACAGTGCTAGTGATAGGAACCAGACGTCTACAGAGTTGAATGCCTCTAAAAGCTACATAACAGAAAGTTATTAAACAAAAAAGTTATGAATACAACGCCTGATGCCTGAGACAGTGAGTGTGATTACATGCACTTAATAATGGGATCATAATCAGATTTATGAGATGTACAGGAGGGGCGCTGTAAGGCAGAATAGTCTCCAGAGAATTTTTTTTTTCTTATTTTCCATTATTTTACCACCATCAACATATGTTTAAAAAATCAGAAGACACGTGTAGGTTTACTGGTGGTTTAGGATAGTAAATAATATGGCTATACTTGTGTTGCAGATATAGCGACCCCTGTTTCCTATCAACACCACTGCAAAGAAATCTGAATCTGTAACTTTCATTCAACCATTTCATATCAAACCACTCTGAATGACTTTTACATCACAGCAACGGAATTATGCCAAATTCTTTGAAAAACCGGTGGAATTCCCCTAGGTTTTTGGGAAAACTCTCCAAAACAAGCTACATGCCTTTAGTTCCATGAAAACGTTAGTTTAAAGAGCTTAATTTACCTGTTTTACAATCTACTGTTCGTAACGCGGCCACTAGGCGCTCAAACACTGCGTCGTTTCACTGAGACGCCAACGGTGCGGTGTACAGCCAAGTAATTGGTTGCAACCTGCTGTCAATCAAAGAAACCCCGCCCACTACAGCAACGTTGCATGTGGCGAAAAGCCGTTCAATACAGTTTACAGAACCATTACAGAACTGGCCAATGAATCGAAGATTCACTAACTCGTTGATTCACAAGGCAAGCCGGACCTACATCATTCCACACTCTTCTAGTCTACAGGCGGGGCTGCATTTACAGATGAACCAACAACGGACAAGACATGCAACCGAAGTTATCCTTACATGTGATACTGTATAGTATGATTCAATTAAATTATGAAAAATACTCCAATTTTGTTAGAAGACCTCTCACACATCGTATCATTCAGAATGTTAAACCAGTTGGACTTGTGAATCGGTTCGACCGGTTTACTGAGAAGAACCGATTCAACGAAATGATTCGTTCACGAGGCGGATGTCGCTAGTTGCATCAGCATTGACTACGCTGTTGTATGCCGGTACGGGTGAAGAGGTGGCTAAGACTGCACAAAATTGCTGTTTGTAGGGTCTTCTTGTATTATTCGTTTATTTCTGTCTTCCCACGATGGCGGACGAGGCTGTTACTGAACAAATAAAAGGGCTGCAAGTCGGCGAAGGCAAGCAGGTAGTTACCGCTAAAGCCAACGTCCTTACACAGTCGGGTTAGCCTGCTAGCTAGCTAACATGCTTCATTCAGTTCACGCTGTCATTGACAGACGTTAGCCTAGCTAACTCCAACATTACCACAAACTAACGATCTGTTTATTCTCGCCAGGTTAATAGTAAGTTAGAATCTACATTGTAATCTGTCATACCGATATTAAGACATAAGAACGTTACATATAGTCGAATTTAAGGTCCATAAATGGCTGGAAACCACTGTCAGCTTCTCCTTTTTTCTAATGGATGTAATGTTTGGGTTAACTTAACCTTAAAAGTCCAAAAAAACTTTATTCTTATAGGAACGTTTTTAAAAAGCCCATCTTTTCTTACTTTTTATAGCCAAAGAACTCAACGTAATATTAATGTTAGTATTAATATTATATGTGAATGTTAATATGTGTATGTTACTATATAACAACATACATGTATATATTATTTCTGTCGTTCTGTTTTTTAAACATTTATGCAGTGCAAGATTAACTTAAGATTGACTCAAACTCACACATTTGCTGAGCGTATTTTTGATCTAGTTTATTTTTTATAAAAGTCAGTGCATACTCTGTAGGCATTACTCTTTAATTGGTAGATGAAGTTTTTGTCCGTCTACCACTTCACTCTTATTTAATTAATATGAGGAGTCACTACTGTAATCAGAAAGCAACAGTTTCAGGTGACTAACACTTCTCCTTGTTATAGGTGGAGTAGCATATTTACTCTGCAGAGCCGGTAGTTGTATTCACTCACATTCCTTCACCTATTTATCTCTCTCAGGGTGGAACACCAGACAAGGCTGGCAAAGATGGAGCAAAAAAGAAGAACAAAGGAGCTGGAGGAGACACGAGCGGCAGAACTGAGGTAGCTAGCCCTGGAACAGTATCTGTGGCTCGGCTTTTGCTGGCTGACCAAACAAATTCTCAGGTTGATTGATGTCGTTCGTTGATGCCAGTTTGGTTTCAGTTTTGCAATCTTAAAAGCATAATTTTGTTGTTTTAAGTAACTTTGTATCACTGAAACGGTAGTTTATAAGTGAAAGATAGAGACATTTTTGGCTTAGTGTCAGTTGGTCAGTGTGTCAGCTCGGAAATCACATTATGATCTCTGAGCTAGCTGAATATTTTGCTTGTTCTTAGGTGGGGGTGTGGTTAATGTTATATTTCCCCACCCACTGGTGCATGGTGATGTAATCAGAAAGATGTTTTTGAGTTTTGTCATATTAAACCTGTACTTAATTTAATGAGGAACACTAACACGTTTAACAACAACAACGTTCACAGTGTACAAGACTGGCATTTTCAAATGGTGTCAGAGATAAAAGACAAAAATTGCTAGGTTTTCTTAAGACAGTAGAAAAAAGGTAGGCTTTGATCTTTTGCTGTCGGATGCCTTCACTGGTATATTGTGTTTCAGGAGGATCCTTTCAGACCTATATGAGAATTATTATAACAGGTGTTGCCGTAACAAGTCTTACATTTGACATATCTGTGTTTGGGTCTCCTTATAGTACTTCTAGAAGGCGTAGAGGATATTATTCCCATAATGGTGACTGTAATTCCACAAACCAGCCTTCTACCTTCAACATTTCATGACTGGGATTAAGAACTTTTATTTTCTGGGCATTATGAGTATATGTTCCTCTCTTTCCCATAGCTCAGTCCCCCACCTCAATATATAGATGATCGTCTGGTCCTGTACAACAAGCTGAAAGCTGAGCATGATGCTTTGATGGCTGAGAGGGCAGAGAAGGGCAGCAAGCCCATAAAGATCACCCTTCCTGATGGAAAAGTAGTGGATGGAGAGTCCTGGAAGACCACACCATACCAGGTCGCCTGTGGCATCAGGTTAGAGAAATATGGCCAAAAAGAAATTATTCTTTTTAGTTATGATCCTTTGGGAAACAATTCATGTGCATTTTGGATTTTCACATTTCACCATGATTTTGGTTTGATTCAGAATTATTTTGCAAAATAGACTGAACACAAATACACAGTAGCAGAAAATAGCCAGATGATTTTATTTTGGCCATAAAAGGAGTGCATACTTTATAATCAGTTACACACTTGAGTGGTAATGAACAAAGATGATTGAGCTTATAATAATTTGACCATGGCTTAATTAATGTCAGTGTTTTAGTTCAGAGTCAAAAGGAGTTTTACAGAGTTTATATATGGCTGATAGGATCTTTGTGTGATGTAATCTAAGTTTATATTTTCTGTGCTCTGTCAAACCATCAATACACAGCCAAGGCCTCGCTGATAACACTGTGATTGCCAAAGTGAACAATGCTGTGTGGGACCTGGACAGACCATTGGAGGGAGACTGTAGTCTGCAGCTGCTGAAGTTTGATGATGAGGAGGCACAAGCAGTAAGTCCACAGTAGTTCACCATTTCTTTTTTCCAATGTGCTTTACAGCTGAGTGTTTTAGATTAGTCATAAGTTGGACTTGTCACAAGCAATAGTTGCTCATTTCTCCATGGAACAGCAAAAACATTATACTTAAAAATGATTTATTACATTTCAGTATAATTGAAAATGAAACAAGTCTCTTGTGTGCAGGATTCAAGGAGTGAAACATGCATTTTTTAAGGCATTTGTAACATTTTGAAGCCTGATAAGGCACTGATGCAGCGATCTGATTCACTGGATGCACTGATATTGACCTTATTAAATGGATCACGTATTGGCCAAACGTGACCGATCCACTGCAGATACTGTTTCTTAGACACAGTAGATTGGCAAATTGTCCAAAACATGATTCTAATAAAATTCTCACTTGTGTATTTTAATTAATGGAGTGATCTATGGACAGCTAATAATTAAGAATGATCACATTACATATAAACCTGTTTGTTTAAGGACATGAAACAAGTGTTTTTTTGCAAACACGAAATGCACCGTGTGTTTCTCTCCAAAGAGGTGCAGCATCAGTAACATCAGTAAACAGCTGTTGACTGTCTGTGCCTGCTTATTGACTTCTATTATAGTTGTGTCTTTTAGGTAAATAGGTTTTCTGACACTGTTACTTTTAAGTAACGATTTCAGTGACTGTGGATTGACACCTTCAAATGACATCACTACTGTATTCATTTTAACTTTAGGTCTACTGGCACTCAAGTGCCCACATTATGGGGGAGGCCATGGAGAGAATCTTTGGAGGCTGCCTGTGTTACGGACCCCCCATCGAGAATGGCTTCTACTATGACATGTATCTTGAAAATGAGTAAGTTGGAATTAATATTTTTGAGTATTAGTATTCTTCTTATGTTCCACATAACCATAGCAATGTACACATTTCTGAACAGACTGTATGTAGGGGTATTATAAAGAATCATGTTTAACAAAGAAACCTCTCAACTCATTTTGATTTTTCAAAGTCATATAAGAAGTGTTAATTCTTCAGTTGTTTCTTTCAAACCTTAATTCAAAATTACAAAAGGGATACGTAGTAAAAATACAAAAAGCTTAGAGCGACAGGAGGTTCAGAGTGTCCGGGTAGATTAATAGAAGACCTACATGTAATTTTTTTTTCAGTAAGATTTTAAAATGGATTTATTTCTTCACAAGCCTGCTTCAGATCAGTTTAACACATAGAGTGACACAGTAATTTAGCAGTTATTTTAATAGTTCTTTTTTGACACAATTTCTGGCACTAATGCTGAAAAAAGTTTCCATTCAGTCTGTCTTAACACTTTTTCGATTTCCTACAGCTGAGAGAATGTAGCATACTTTGCATAGCATTTATATGGAGGCAAATTGTTAGTCAGGTGTTTACCAGCTAGTCTGATAACCATTGTGAACGAAATATGTGACAGGGCCTGAATAGTGAGTAGGATTTTGAGTTGCATTCCATTCTCTTGCCACAAGGTCAGGTTTTTAAGTCTAATGAATTCATTTGTCAGTGGTTGAATATTAAGTAGATGCTTAAGAAATTACAATTTCAAAGAGCATTCTGCCAGTCTGTTTGAATAGAGTTTGAAGAGATTGGTTATAAACAATTTTATTTGACCTTTTGTTTGACTGGGAGCTTTTCCTCTGGCTTCAAATTAGTGTGAGGGAGGAAATAATAAGTGCTGTTATTTTCTTACTGAAAGCCAATTTATGCTAATGATATTCTAGGAGATGATTTGACTGTCAAGCTGCACCTTGTTCGTGGTTTAGATGTGTCAGTTCCAGAACAGGTACTCCAGAGTGCCAAATGAGGTGACTGGTAATGGAGAAAGTTTGCTGCGTTGGTGGCAACCAGGAGATGTTTGGCATTTTTTTTCACCGCTTTCTGGGTTTATTTATTTATTTGCAGGACTTATGTTTATTCATGAATGCTGAACTGTTTCTATCTTATTCTTTCTCTCCCTCAGAGGTGTATCGAGTAATGACTTCCCCTGTCTGGAGAACCTGTGTAAGAAGATCATCAAGGAGAAGCAGCCCTTTGAGAGGCTGGAGATAAAGAAGGAGACTCTGCTGGAAATGTTCAAGGTAGGAGCTTTGCCTTTTTCTGAGGGGGAAAATGGAACCTGTGAAAGGGCACCTATGCTGAGGCACCTTAAAGTTTGATGCCAGTAAAGTTTTTGCTTCTGGGTCATCCACAGTACAACAAGTTTAAGTGCAGGATCCTGAATGAGAAAGTTACCACCCCAACAACTACCGTTTACAGGTAGGACTGTGATAGAACTTCTCTCATACATTCACCATGGTACTGTTTACTGAACACCTAATGATGTGGACCGTTGTTTTTTTTTTTTTCTTCTGTGAAGGTGTGGCCCCTTGATTGACCTGTGCAGAGGGCCCCATGTAAGACATACCGGAAAGATCAAGGCTTTGAAGATCCATAAGGTACAGACTTACCTTTTGATGTGATGATGTTGGTCTTTTCATGATGTGTTCACACAATAAAAAGGAAACTGGATTTTTCAATTGGTGTACAAAAATAAAAATTGAAAAAATGGGCAGACTGTGTTTTGATTTGACAGTGACCATCTGCTCAATTAATTTTTCCAATAAATCGTTTCTGGTCACCAGCATTATTGAGGTCCTGCTGCTTATATGGAACTGTGCCCATGATACTTCAGTAAAGTTATTATTGTCTAACTGCTGACCCTTCAACATTTCTGGCTGCTACAGAACTCCTCCACATACTGGGAAGGTAAGGCGGACATGGAGAGCCTACAGCGAGTCTACGGTATCTCGTTCCCTGACCCCAAGATGCTGAAGGAATGGGAGAAATTCCAAGAGGAGGCCAGGAACAGGGACCACCGCAAACTGGGACGGGTATGGATTTGCTTACGTATGATTTATGCATACTTGTTTCTTGCTTAGTCTCATGGCACCAGATGTAATCAGCGTTCCTATGGATTCTTAGAATGTAATATAAAGTCTTAAAACAGATATTGGAAATTTCAGGTAATAAAATATCTGATGATGTCTTATTTTGTAGTATTAGTTACTAAAATGAGGGATGTCAAATTATGGTTTAATAGGTCAGGTATCTGCTAAAGTAAGCTTGATCCAGTCCAGATCCTTTGTTTCATTTTTGCTCTCTTTGCGCTGCCGCTGCTGAGTTGCCTTAAACAGATATTATTCCACTACCTGCAGTGGTGAGGAGCTTTTAGCTTTTTCAGAAGGTAACAAAGCATTTTAAATGTCTGCTGTGTTAAACTGTTGTGCAGAGGAAGCCTAAACCGTGTAATATTTGCAGTTCCAGTGTTCGTCTAAACTTGGCTTTGTAAAATGTAAGCACACAGCTAGACACTCTTTTTTGTATCTTGCTGTGGGCAATGCCACCAAAACCGTGTATCAAATACACTCACTATGTTTTAAGTCTCAAGTCATGAGCAGTTACAAACAAACCTACCACAACAATGTTGTGCCTTCGACCGCTTGCTCCATTTCTGGTTTAACTACTGCGCATACATTAGAGCAGTATGCACTCAAAGCATGTTCACCACCTTAGAAATGTTTATTTCATATTTGAAGTCCAGTGAAACTAAAGCTGTTCAGAGTGTATAATACTTTCAATATAAGAAAAAAAATTAAAGTCACTGTTATACACATAATCAAATCAGTCAAGGTGTTTTGAAAACATAGGCTAAAAAAACATATCACTCCAGAATGTCACAGTATGCACACGCTAAAGTGAACTGATTTCACTGTAGGATTAATTGGCAGAGGCCCATACTTAATATTAAAAGACTCAAATCACATTGGACCAAACACAAATTGAGACATCCCTAATTAAACTGTAGGATGATACCAAAAGGCTGTCAAAAACTGAGTCATCTTGTTTATTAAACTAGTCCAGAACAGTCCACCAAGTAAAAATATACAGTGTACAGCAGTCCTGTGGTCTAAACTGACCACCTGTGAACGACTAGAGGACAGGAGAACACTGAAAAGACCATGTAAAGGTAGTGCCAATCTATTTGAATATATTTGTAGGTTTGAGTGTGCAGGCAGTTATGTGGTGGAAATGAAATAATTATTGTTATACTGAGGTCTTAAAAAGAGGGGAAGTGTTTGCGTAGACTTGATGGCAGCAGATTTAGCCACGTTTCACTACCAAAATTTTAGAGAATCACTATGAAATAGGACGTGTTAGGTGTTATATTCAAACATGGGGTCATGACCATTATGTTATTGCTTACAGTCACTCATATTTTTTCATTAATATGCTAAAAGTGAAATTCTTAGGACTGGGAGATGTTGGGAGATGTCTTCTACCAAAGACACACTTCGTGGTATTACACACTAGCGGCAACAGTGCTGCTGTACTGCCAATAACTCCTCTGTGACACAATTTCTCTCCATCGTCTACTGTTTTGTCCCCGGCTGTGAAGAACAGCAAAACCCTTTTTACTGTGAACCCATTTTCCAGACACTCATTAAGCCCTGACCTATAGGATTTCCAATAGAACCACCATTAACATTAGTCCAGTTTATCCCAGGTCTGAGTTCAGTGTTTGTGTGGGGGAGAAAAACGAACCTCAGTAATGAAATGGCCCGCCGTATCGAACAGTTGGTAACAAAAAGGTGGACAGTGTGAGACAGGAGAGGCTGCCAGAAGCTAATGTAATAGTAATATGCTTTGCAGTGTATTAAACCACACTGATAAACTTTTAAAGGAATGAAAAGTCACATTTACACTGTGTCCCTCTTACTCCAGCCAAGACATGTCTGGTGTCCAAAAACCTAAAGAGCTTTGCACACCAGATTGTCTTTAACATTTAACATGATTTAACATTGGTCTGTTTTATTTTGCTGAAAATAATTTATTTTTCAAAAAAAATTTTTTGTGAATTCTTCAATTTGTCCTAACAGCCACACCTCACTCATTTGGAATGTGTGAGATTTGTCACACAATAAAAATGATTTGTTAGATGCTGCAGTGATATTAGTACTACAAAGCCCAATTTTGTGATAATGCTGTCCAAATATTGCATTGTGCAGTCCTGCTAGGTGCACTAATGACTCAGGCTGTAATCTGGCCACAATCTGATTTGAGCTGTGGTGTGTGGAGACTCCCTGTGCTCCTGTGTCCTCTCTATTAACCACCGATGAGTCTGGTGGGGGGTCTGTGTGGGGAAAGCTGGCAGATGCCTGTCTCCTTAATGTGCCATCTGCCAGCGGGCACACCGATGGGCACACAGGGAGCGCTTTGTTACAACAAAACAGAGAGAGCTAATCAGACATGCCTGACTGTGTTCCTCCTGTGTTCCTTTTTCTACCTCCTTTCTGCTACTTCTTTCTTCTTGTCTTTTATTCTCTCTCTCTCTCACCCTCTTGCTTTCTCTCCCTCTGTCCCCTTTTCATTTTCTTTCTGTCTGTCTCTTGCTGTCTCTCCATTTGTGCTTCTTTCCCTTCTCTTCATCTGTCTCTGCCTCTCTCTCTGTTCTCTTTTATTATGTTCTCTCTCTGTTTTTCTCTCTTCCCCCACCCTTCTCATCCTTTTTCACCCTCTCTCTCTATACAGACATATACAAAGACAGTCTTTCTGTTGTTTCCCTTTTTCTTTCAGGAACAGGACTTGTTTTTCTTCCATGACCTCAGCCCTGGTAGCTGTTTCTTCCTCCCAAAGGGAGCGTACATCTACAACACACTGGTGGAGTTTATAAGGGTAAGCTTCCTCTGCTTGTTATCCAGTGTTGATAATGGTCCAGAGCAAATCCTGACGTTTGTGAAACGGGGATATCGGGCTATGCTAAATTACAGTTTTAATGACTGAGAGGTTAGCTTCAGGGGGCAACCACTGAATGTGTCCGAACAAAGCAATGTGTGTTCATTAACTTTGAGCACTGCAGATTTTTTGCTTCTCAGTAGTCTGATGTAAAGAGTACATTATCTTTGCTGCAGGAGTATAAGCATTATTCTCGCCAGTTTATTTTTACCCAACAGTATTAGAGAGCTAGCCAACAGAAAGTACATTACTGAAACCTCTCCAGTGGTCCATAATGTACTGTGACCTGTATCTTAATATTACTTGATCATTTGTGTAAGCTGATAAGGGTCAATATCAAAACGTATTCTAGCACTAAAGCAAAATCCAACATATCCAACGCCATTTACATAGTTGCTGAATGAAATAGTGTATCAAGTTAGGGCAAGATTAGGCTTTATTCAGTCATCAGTTGCTCCCTTAACTTTTAAAACAATGAAATATGTAGTCATACCACAGCCCTTAAATTGTGTATTGTTGAAGGAAAATACAGCACACCTTGGCATTTTTGTTCATTCTACGATGTTTAGGAATATGGTAGCATTATATGTGGTGCTGTCTAGATCTCATGTGTTTATCTATGCTTTGACCATCTGAGGTTTTGTACTGTAATTTGTAAAAGGATTTGACCATCTGATTTGTATGGATTAAAATCTTTGCAATTTCCCTAAATTCCCACAGATAGCCAGGAATTGAACCATCATAGTCTGGATATTCATTTCGGTATTACACTCAATAACAGACTGACACTCAATAACAACACGTAACATGGCTGTATCTGTTAGCAGATATTATTACATTACTGTGAGGTCAGTTCTCACAGGACTGCTATTTTCAAGGTCAGCCAAATACAAAGGTAATTCATTACATAATTATTACAGTCAGACTTCATGTTGGATTAAAATTATGGGTCTTGTTGTTAATCACATATGTTACCTTCCAGCAGGACGACCCCCACATCTTCTGCTCCGTGGACCTCTTTACAGTACCTCTTCATGTAAAACTAATCCAGCTCCAACAGTGTCTCTGCTGTCATTATAATGCTTCCCAAAGCCATTGAGCACATTGATATCTATTCCAAATTATGATCAGTGTTTCACTGTGGAGATACATGGATTTTTAAGATAGAAGCTATGATCTGGTTAGGGTTAGGTTTGTGACATCACCTTTGTCTGATCTACAGAGTGAGTACAGGAAGAGGGGGTTTCAGGAAGTGGTCACTCCAAACATGTACAACAGCAAGCTTTGGCAGACCTCCGGCCACTGGCAGCACTACAGCGAGAACATGTTTTCCTTTGAGGTGGAGAAGGAGATCTTTGCCCTCAAACCCATGAACTGCCCTGGACACTGGTATGAGCTTATTGTATTGCATAGTGATAAACAGATAGTAAATATAGTAAAAATTCCCACAAGCTCTTATGGAAAATTATACAGTGTCAAGATACGTATCACATTTGTTACTATACATGACCAATCATACAAGAAATAAACTGGTGCAGCTGTGTTGTAGCTTTTAACTGTACATCACAATTTGTTTTTATAAAAATGAATACAAACTGTAAGATGGATGCATGAATGCCCTTTTGCCACAAAAGTTAGTATGTAAGCTTAGTGCAGTTAATACACTGCATCTTCTAACTCGTCTTCTCTGCAGTCTGATGTTTGACCATCGGCCACGCTCTTGGAGAGAGCTGCCTTTGCGGCTGGCTGATTTCGGGGTCCTGCACCGTAACGAGCTCTCCGGAGCCCTAACCGGTCTGACCCGCGTCCGCCGCTTCCAGCAGGACGACGCCCACATCTTCTGCTCCATGGACCAGGTGCGCCCCACAGATCCACCCACATACTGCTTTTTTTCTTCTTAAATATTTTAAGGGGGAACAATTTGTTTATTTCATGATGGTGATACAACATTAGGTCTCTCAACTCAGAGATTAAATGCTTCTGATATTTTCTAGTATAGATATTTGGTGTTTTTTGAGCTGCTTAATATGGAAATTGATCTCCAGTGAGTAGCAAAAATCGATGACAGAACTTGATGGTTGAGAACAAGATCTGAAATACTTTTGAACTTCTTTGTTCTTTTAATCTTGTTGCTCACTACAGGATTTGTTTCTCCAGTATCTACAGCCTTATTACCAATGACACGTCTCATATTCTCATAGTTGTATGCAAAAGTTTTGGCGCCCCACTCAAATTACATTTTGTTCATGTCTTAAGTGAAAATAAGTTAACACATCCTCCACAGAGAACACACTTTATGGAATTTTTAGTGTATCATAAATGTTTGGAGTCATTCTTTAATTAATTGTTGAAAACTTCAATCAATCAGATTGAGTCAGAGATTAAGGGCTGTCTGGACTTCTTACGTGCTGTGTACAACGTGTTCGGCTTCACCTTTAAACTGAACCTCTCCACCAGACCAGAGAAGTTCCTTGGGGAACCAGAAGTGTGGGAGCAAGCTGAGAAGGTAAAGTTGGAAATCAGCTCAGTGCTACTGACAGCTTAACCACTGTCAACAATAGATAAACTTTAAGGAATCAAACTAATTTGTATTGTAAACACTGATCATTTTTAAACAGTTAAAATAATAGTTGTACATTCCAAAAGGAGTGGCAGATGGTGCTCTAACATTCATAAACAACACTTTTTCTGTCCTCTGGCTTCTACAGCAACTCGAAAACAGCCTGAATGAGTTTGGTGAGAAGTGGGTGTTGAACCCAGGAGATGGTGCTTTCTACGGACCCAAGGTAACAACTGTCTTCGGACATTAACTCAGACACTGAATTCACAATATATGAACTAGCTTCTTATTTTTGTATGTTAATCTGTATGTTTCAGATTGACATTCAAATTAAGGATGCTATTGGCAGATACCACCAGTGTGCCACTATTCAGCTGGACTTTCAGCTACCCATCCGTTTCAATCTAACCTTTGTCAGGTAAACTACAACCTATATTTTTTCAGACCTAATGGTTTATTATTATTGCATGCCTTGCTGCCAATACATCTTATTACTTGTCACTTTCTTACTCATGTTCCTTACCCATTTTCATCAGTATCTTAAAATCTATAGTTTAATCCTGTAACAACTGCAACAGTGACACCTTTTGGTTGCCTGATATTATTACACGCATGTGTACAGGCACTTGACCTTTGCTATTGACTCTGAAATCATTTAGTCTCCACTTACCTGTTAATGTCTCTTTCTACAGTCCTGATGGAGATGATAAGAAGAGGCCAGTGATCATTCACAGAGCCATTCTGGGTTCTGTGGAGAGGATGATTGCCATCCTGACAGAAAACTACGGTGGGAAGTGGTATGTACTAATAAGACAAATCATGCTAGACTGCATGCAAGACTGCAGTGTCCTGAATTATTGTTGCAGTTATGAATATAAACAGTTTTAATCGACATATCTAAATTAAAGCTTATGGTGACTAAAAAATGTTACTTTTTTCTTTTTTTTTGGGTTAGGCCTTTATGGCTTTCTCCACGTCAGGTTATGGTTGTGCCTGTTGGACCCACTTGTGAAGAGTACGCCCAAAGGGTAAAGTTATTAATTGCTTAGTTATTTGTTCATAATCATGAATGTACTTTCATAGTCATCCAATAACATTTACATTCAATTTACATTACATTCTGTTTTAACAGTTTCAAGTCTGTATTTTTGTCTTGTCCTTTATTTGGGTTGTTCAGTGTAAAAATTACAAAGATTTTCTTTCAACAAAAGTTTCATCTAATTCATATTATTTAAAAAACATCTGCTTTTAAACACAAACATGGTATTGATTGATAGTGTAGAATCTGTTCTTTTTACAGAATTTCCAGTTGTATTAAAATTTAAAACTTTTAAAACTGCATCACCAATATGCCATCTTGAGTCTCGGAAATCATTGTCAACCGTGAAAACTAAGCATCGGGGTGCTGTCAATCAAGTGGGTGTTGCGTTTGGGTGGTATAAAGAAGTATAATGCTTTTTTGCCATTACATCCTGTGTTATTGTAAAATTGAAAAAATCATTAAAATGAAAGTATAGTTTTACCAAATAGGCAAGGACAGTGCACAATTTTTAATACACCATTCAATAAATGTCAAATGATCTATCTAACAGTTTATAAACAGTGCGTATAAACAAGTATGTATGTGTGTGTGTGTGTATATATATATATTATATATATATATATATATATAGCTTTATACACATACCACTATTTTTAAGGTTCACACACCAGCGCCGGTGCTTAGCACTGTTCAGTTTCTCAGTGTATTATGGCGCGGCACGAAGCATTTTGTCATTACTATGTTTAAATTAAAGCCACATTGACACAACGCTCTGCTACGCGATGCTATGTGACAGTGCATCCAGTGTGAGGTGGACTTCACTTTTTTCCTGAGGTTTTTCCTGCCTCTGACTTTTCCCCTCTTTCTGTAAGGACCACCCATCGGTGAGCTCCCACCAGTCATTGATCCCTCCGAAATGTATGGGTGGAATGTAATCATTTGGCCATCCAGACATGGAACAGATATTTGACCTGTCATAATTTGAAATTCCGTCATCATTTCTAAATACTGTTTTCATTTTTAAGTACTGTGGTATACTGTATTACTGTTACACAGCTCCAACACTAGTTAATATTAATATAACATATGAACACAAGAAACATGTTCAGGCACTCATTATTTTTTCTGTATTGTTACATCATTACACCCCTAGCATGTGCACAACAAGGTTAATGGCAAGTATGTACGTCTTCCCTATTTAGGTTCGTGAGGAGTTCCACAGTGCTGGCTTGATGACAGATGTAGACTTGGACCCAGGCTGCACTCTAAATAAGAAGATCAGAAATGCGCAGTTGGCTCAGTACAACTTTATCTTGGGTAAGTGATTAGATGCATCTCCTCAGTAGGTCAGAAAATTAACACTTCCCCAGGTCTATGAATCATAGTCTACACTGTTTAGAATTCTGATGATGAACTGAAAGTTGAATTTGAGCAGAATTGTAAGCTGGAATATTTGTATTCTTCTTGAGGAGTTTTTCCTTGGTTGGGCTATTTTGAAGAACGAGACATTAATACATGCCAGACTACACATGGACTAGCAGCTCTAATTGCTTTTTGTAAAACTTGGAAAGCAAAGGCTGAATCATGGACTCTAAACTGGCAAGCCTTCACTTGCTTGTAGTAATCCACTGATTATCCTCCCCTTGCAGATTGCACTATGTTCTGCTGTTTTCACACATTGTAGTTTGAAAAATGGGCATCCGTTTGAAATAAAGTTGAGTTCCAACAGTTGGTATTTGTAGCTTTATCAAAGACGAAAACTTTGTTTTGTGATAGTGTACTCAGTATGAGCTGATCTACAGCCAATGAGACATCCTGCAGGGTTTTCATGAATGTGAACTTTTAGGTAGAATTTGACTGTTCTTGTTGATTAAAGACCAGCAACATATACCAAACCCCTAATCTTCATCCAGCAATGTTAACTTCATTGTTTTCATTATTATGTGCCACATGAGTCTTTTTAGTGAAGTGTTGATATAATAGAAAAGAGCATCTTCACATCTGGGTGGTTTATGGTGATAAATTGTCACTTTGTCTCACAGTGCTTTTCAGAGCATATTGTGGATATCATTAGTATCAATGAAACATTCATTCTATTCATAGATTTTTATAGTATTTTTTTAAATATGGCACTACTGTGTCTGTTCCAACTTATCAAACCTCAGAAAAATTAAATATTATGATGGAAATTGTGTATTGTGAAAACGTCTTGGAGTATTGTGATGTTGTGCCAAATAGCCCACCCTGTTTGCGCTAGTTGCATTAGGTCTCAGTAAATGCGATTACATTTCATTTAATAATGCAATAACTGCAGAAAATCAGATTGTCAGTAATTTGTTCAATGCGTTTACATGCAGTTGGATAATCAGATAATGGGAAAACTCTGGATCTACATGAGTCAGGCAATAACAGATTTCTGCTTTCCAACCCACCAATAAACTCAGAATAAGAAGGACGTGAGAAAATTCTAATTTCATGCTGTAGGTTTTTTTTTTATTTAAACTGGAAGTCACTTTACCAGCAAGAATATACAGCATCTAGAAGATGAAGAATATTCACATTTATAATTTCATGAAGCACATAGTTTGTTTCAATATCACTCCAAAAGTGTTTTGTTGCCATTTCATAGGTGCTGTGTAGATTGCTGCTTGCTACCCTCTGTTTGCGCACTTGCACAGACTAAGAAAAACTGATTACTAATCTGAAATCCAGATCTCTGTATTGGATTTTTTGAAATCCGAAAGCAGCCTTAAATCGATCTAAGAAATCGGAGCGTGCTGTTCACTTGACCACTTCAATAACCAGATAACTGCCTAAAATCCAATAATGACAATTATTTGTATGTGAAATGCACTCCATGTTGCATAATATCCATAATATACAATATTAGACCCCTTCTGATAACTCTTTCACATGATCCAAGAATATCCACTTGGATCACTAAGAGCTTGGACAGACACTATAATCATGAAACAAATTGTAATAGTTTGAAATAGACATAATAAATAAGATGTACAGTTTTCTTCTTACCCCAAATGTAGCCAACGAGTCAAGACATATTTGGTGTCTGAAATTTACTTCTTTATTTTTGCACTGGAACTGTAGCTAACAGTTAATGGAAGTATATATTCCACCATTAGCTTTGTAGAAACTGCATGTCTGACAGTGCTCAAATATGCCTCAGACTGCCTTGAGCGTTTAAGCGATCTCAAACAGACTTGCTTATGTGGTTTCTGACTCTGCATGACGTACTTTTGTTCATTTTTATTGACATAGTATGTGGCATAGCTAAAAACTGTTCTAGCAGACGTCTTAGAGCTGGAATTTTGTTCAGATTTTGTCTGCTTTTTGAAACAGCACCAGATATGTTGGCTGGTGGACTGTATTTCAAGTAAGGAGAAAATTATGTAAATTTGATTGCCAGACTGTCGTTTTAAATGATGGTTTATTTACTTTTGGATCTTGCTATAAATCTAAAGTGCATTGTGCAGTTGATTCAAAAGTTACTATATTAGGATGTTTTAACCTTTCTTTTCCTGTCCAATTTCATGTTCAGTGGTGGGCGAGAAGGAGAAAATAAGCGATACGGTGAACGTCCGCACTCGGGACAACAAGGTCCACGGGGAGAGGAGCCTGACAGAATGCATGGAACGCCTGAAACAACTGAAGGCATCGAGAGCCCGCAATGCTGAAGAGGAATTCTGAGCCTATCGGCTGTCTGACATGGAGAAGTTCAGGATCTCAGGGATGGGACATTACATGCTGAGGCTGTGGGCAAAACTGTCATTGCAGAAAGTAAATAATGTTGCTTTACTGCTACTGGATCCATCATGCTCTGATGATGCCTCTGCTCACAGACTGCAGCTAACAGCAGCTGTGGTAGTTGGCAGCTCTCAAGCACTTAATAGTACTTATAGATTTAGTTGTTCAACAGTAATGAAGAAATTGCCTCTATGTCTGTAGAAAGTGATTTAAATTGTGTCCTGCAGGCCCAGCTGGTAATCCATCCCTGAGAAAACCATAGTTAAATCACAACTATTACACATTTTGCATCAAAAAGTTGTTTTCTTCTATGGAACCAAATGGTAGTCTCAGAATCTGTCATGTAAAATCCTTCAAATGAAATGTTTTTGGACGGGATGCTCTGGGAAATGTTCTTTTTTTGTCAAATTGCTGTAGTCATGCTGTAGTTATTTGGAAAGGGACTTTCTCCTCTTGTCTCTTTTTGTACACCTGATTATGATACTGTAAATTAGCAGTCTTAAAGGTCTTATGCAAATGAAATAAATCTTATTCTTCCAATGTTTACTTGTAGTGGTTTGAATGTGTGTGCTTAGCTTAGCATAAAGGCTACACAACCAGGAAGGATCTCCTGTGCTGAGCACAATAAACCAAAAACTCTTTCACTTTCAGTTACTCTGACTGCAGCCATTTGGTTTCTGAGAAATGGTCGAGTGGCCGAGTAATGTAGTGAACAGAGTCGTCTGTTTGGAGACATAATCGAAAGGAGATGAAGAGAGGAGACCCGGAGGAGAACAGAAAGAGCTGAACTCCAATATCGTCGCTCGGAAATACGTTTTTTTTTTTTTTGTGTGTTTGAGCATTTTTTAGTAGTTTAAGGGGAGCCTGCCGCCCAGGAACCCCACAGTGTTTCTGCTTACTCACAAAATGCTACACGAAACCGTCGGCACTTTTACTGAAAACGCTTTAAAACGAGCCTCGGGACTGTAAGGTATGCAGTTTATTTGGAAAGGTGAGTCAAAGTTTTCTTTAAAAAAAAGAAGGTTTTGTCAGCTTTTGCACCGGTACAGGGTTCCTGTGGAACCGCAGAAACAACAGCCGCACCTCAGCTGAAATGAGTAGCCCAACAGCTTATTAAAGGACTTCACAACACCCTGGACTTTTTACTGTAGTGTAAAAAAGTCTGTCTGATACCGTCGTCGTTATAACGTCGACCAAACCAAAGGGAAAGACTACGGGTTCTTATTTAAAGGCGATTCTACAAGGTAGTTGTTTTATATATAATCAGATAAAGCAGTAATAACGTGCTGGGTGAAGGTGTGGTCTTGAACAAGAACAGTGTGAGGACTAAGTGAAACGTTATTATGTGCTAATTACACAGAAAAATAAGTAAATACGATGCAAAGTTTTCTTTCACTTTCACTTTGGCCCGAAGGCTGGCTGAGGTCGACACCCAGCTGTTTTTCAGACAGTCAAGTTTAACCGGGTTTAGTTTGAGGAAGGCGCCGCCACACATGTGGATATATGTGATGATCAGCTCTTTAAACCAGCTCTTTAACCTTTAACAGTTGTTCAGCATAAAGTGCTCATCCAACATTTCTTCTGAAATCAAGTGGGAATTTTGTCCCCACTTTGCTGCAGCGACAGCCTCGACTCTTCTAAAAGGCTTGAATGTCCAGTAAGGAGTCATTTGCAATTCAGCTAATGCTTAGCTAAATTGATAAGAAGAAAAAAAATCAGTTCTGAAAAGATTCACATCACGACACGATGCCACTTCAGATACTTATCTCAAGCATGATCATTGATTTGCATTAGCTGGCTGCCTCTTGTTTGGTTGGCCAGCTGGCATAAAGCAAAACTTTGTAATAGAGCCATGGACACTCAAAGACCCATTTGCATGCTTACAGGGTTCTTTGCATGGTGAAATAGTTCTTCGGATTGATAGAGAATGTGTTGCAAATGGGTTTATATACAACCTTTTGGAAAAGGTTCTATATAGCACCAAAAATGTTTCTTCTATTGTTACGATGACAAGCTTGTAACAATAGACAAACCCTTTTCAAAGGCTTTCTTTATAGACCCATGTGCAACACATCCTTCATCAATCTGAAGAACCATTTCAACATGCCAAGAACCCTGTAAGCATACAAATGGTTCTTTGAATGTTCTTGGTTCTATATAGAACTATCGTCTTTTCTAAAGAACCCTTGGAGAACCATCTTTTTAAGAGTGTAGCGATCCAGTACATAAAGTAGTCATGTGTTAATGCCAGCTTAAAGCACCGCTGACAGTGGTAGAGTGTGCAGTACAATTTTTAGGGTCATTATTACGGGTGAATGCAGGAAATATAATTGTGTATGCAGGTCTCGGTTTTTGGTGGGATAAAAAGTCGGCATCCCTAAGCTTCTTAAAAAAATAATTAATAAATAACTTTTCTAGAAAGGATTATAGCTTAACATTGTGTGGTTCACTTTCTTCCAAAACCCTCTAACCACACAACCGTTTTATTTCTCAATGACAGTTTTCACTTCTGCCATGGAGTTCACAGATGAAGAGAAGAAGTGGCTAGTGAGCATATCTGAAGAGGTAAACGTTTTCTCCTGCATTGATTTCTGCACCCTAAATAGTGAAACAGTATGAATTGCTACAAAAAATGTGTATCTTTTCTCTTTCTTGACCATGACATTGTTGTCATATTGTAAAGATAAAGCACGGATGCATTTTATTACTAGGCCTAAGGGTGGGCGAGAAACTGGACAACTGCATGTATAAAAAAAAAAAAATAAAAAAATAAAGACATATTTGGAGCATTTCTGGAGCCTGTAAACAATAACAAGCAATGCATAGTTATTGCATAAACTGCATAGTAACAAGTAGCTGATTAGATGATGTCATAATGTGAGCCCATTATGACATCATCCCATTTTATTATTTTTTTTACAATCTCCTAAATTAATCATGATGTAACATTTTTTGCCATATTGCCCACCGTTAGGCCATTTACTGTCTACTCTTTTTCACAATAAAGTCATTCGTTCTTCAAACACTTCAGATGTTTTATGAAAGCAGTAACAACACTTCCTCACATTTTAGGTACCTGAAGATGGTAAACTGACTTTAATGGAAGAACGCTTGTGTGAATTAGCAAAGCCCAAGACTGCAACTGAAGGTCAGCTCTTCCAGATACTAGCGTCCATACGTTTCGGACTGACGGACCCAGTCATCTCCGACTTGGACAAGGTGATACAGTCTGGTCACGAAAGAAGCATTATTTCATACCAGTGTGGCTAAACAATGGCTCCAGAGTGACCCATGCATCTCTGGTGCATTGCTCAAAACCTGGTTCTTAATCATTTTCTGAAGGCCTTGTTGATAAAGAAACTGGAACAAAAACTGAACTTGAAAGCTTGAACGCAAAAAGAATGCAAAAGACTGCCATAGCACACTAATACCTTTCACGTGTTTTCAGGTCAGCCTCTGTAAGATAACAATGTATTGACTGTACTCCAGTAATTATGACCTGCCATAATATACAGTGATGACAGCAACAGCTCTAAACGTATTATAATAGATTTTGGGTATGCCAATGGCTATTATGCTGGTTTCACCAGCAGTACCGTAAATATTGACTTTTTTAATAAAGCAAAGAGATGGGCATGGCCAACACAATGGAAGACTCTCAGAACTGTTTCTCAATCAGGGTGGAGCAGATGAATATGACTGTTGAATCAAATTGCATTGAATCATGGCAAAATGTGGGATTTCGTGATGTACCGAATCTTTCCTGAAGAATCAGAATTGAATCAAGTTAAATCAAATGAAATTATGGAGAAATATGAAATTTATTATGTACTAAATTGAACTGTAATTGGATTGAATCATTGTGACTTCAGAGATTTACACCACTTTATTGCAGATGGTATAAAATGTGAATTATTACATTTGATGTAAATTCACCCAAATGGCAATGGAAATGACCCAGAATGGCATGTCTACGGATGTCAAGCACAATGCTGGAGGTTCATACATACAACAAGTGGAATGGAGGATTTAGGGAATAAACGTTCAGCAAGGAACCCCACTGGGGCCAGATCTCCAGCTGGGCACTACAGTCTAAAGACATTCGCGTCTCAGAGCCCTCATCTGCAACAGAGGACAGGACACATTCTCAGGGAACGCACACTGTGGATTTTGTCAAAGCTTGCAAGCTTGGAAGTGACATTCCCAGCCATATGAAAGGCTCTGCACTTCACTACTGGTTTTCTGAATTCCGCACGTTCGATGCCTGTAATGTCAGTGTGAGTGTTGCATCATCGGTGCTTCTTCCATCATATAGGAAATGGACAATAGTATGGTGTAAATGTTTATGCACCTTCTAACATGTTTTTCATGTCCGCTTCGCCAAAATTCTTCGTGCTTATATTCTAACTGCCTTGAAGTATGATGTAGCTATATGATCCTGTCATGTCTACCTCAGGGTGTGACTAAAGTTGCTCATTGTTAGAAGCAGTTTAGAATCATTTTTGTGCAATCTTTGCTTTCTTTCTAATCCACAGATAGAGCTTGCACTCCTAAAGATAAAGCTACCTGAATAGTTCTTGCTTTGGATGTACAGAAAAACCTTAATTGGAACAAAACCTTTACATTATGTGGAAATTGTTTAAATTTAAACAAGGTCCTTTTCACACTCTCATCTCATTTACAGAAATGTATTTGAAGAAACATCCACTGAAAGGTTCTTCAGGGAACCCAAAGTGGTTCTAAGAATCCCTTTTGGCAGCTTTATTTTTAAGAAAGTAGTGTAGTGTAGAATAAAGTGTGCAATTTCAGCTGTAGCTAAAGCAAAATACATTGGAAATTTCTCATGCACTTCTGTTTTTTTTAATAATTGTCTGTTTTGTCCTTTCTGTTCTGTTGTCCCGTTGCCATGTTGGACCTATGAACTGTTTACACAAACAACAAACAGTACTCAGAAATCCTCATACAGTCGTAAGCAAAAGTTTGGGCTTCTAAGTGAAAATAAGTACACGTCCTCTACAGAGAACTGGTCATTCTACAGAAACATCCACTTTTTTTTATCTGTCTGTAGGAGTCACTGGTGTTACCAATCCTCATTGGTGTTACACTTAAAATAGGTAACACCAGTGACATTTTTAAGGAAAAATGCATTCTACAAAATGTCTGCTACAGAGCATCAAACCACATGTTGTAAATCATAGAATATCCACTAAAATATATAATTTAATCCATTTGTATTCTATTTTTTTTACAATTACGTAAGAATAAAGTAGGTCATACCAGTGACTTCAACTGACAGCTTCATATGAAATCATGAGCTAAATGAGAAAATTTCTGATAACTGAAAAGACACAGTGGACTTACCATGTGCTTTTCTTCATAGATCCTCAGAAAATAGGTAAAAGGAAGTCAAGTGATGTCATCAGTGTGACTTTTATTTCAAAATAAGAGATTTTTGTTATGTAGTAACACCAGTGACACGGCTCATGGGGACCACAACTTCCATTATATATTGTATATTATTTATTTGGCAATTGTTTTCTTTAT